CGGCCGTGCAGTGCCCGTGCAAGGCTTGTGCAATGCCTATGCAGTGTTGGAGCCCACACGTGTTGCTTACTACTTAGCATTCTCATTTCTCAACAATTAAATCATGCAGATGGGATTTGTCTCGATCTAGGGCTCGTTGTGATTGTTAGTATTGGCCTGCAATTTGGATATGAAGTATTCTCAAACGATGTCAATTTTCAGCATCTCATTTTTGTGGGCATTTTAGTATGTTCTCAAGTAGCTCAATGTCTTACGGTAAAAGTTTTCTTGCATAAATTGAGTAAATCATCTGTTGACACCTAAATTTTAACTAGTCATTTATGAACAATTGCATAGAAAATTAGGGATTAACGCCTAAATAAAAAATATAATTAGATGGCACAGCACATAGTTTTTAGGAGCATTTATCATATAGCTTGATTGCATAGTGATTGGGCTAGCGTCAGATGGGTCTAATTGGATGGATCGGATATTCTGAGCTTATTGGACTGCTGCAAGTATAGTTTTGAGCTCAATTAGTTTGTTTGGGTCCATGAAATAGAATTAATTGAGCCCATGATCGGAAAATATATTGCGCTCAATTCAGAAATTAATGTTACTAAAATTCTGGTCAATTAGCATAATATTTCGAAATGGGCATGATCTTTCGAACACTCGTGGCACTCGATTCTCTCGGTTAGGGGGAAGAAAAGAAGCAAAAAAAGAAAAGGGAGGAGGATCAGTGAATTTGATTTCCTTTGTATCTCCGTGCAAAAGGGAAACAATATAAAAAATACAAGAGAGGAAAGTGGAATCCGGTCAATATAGGGGCGTATATTCTGATCAATATCTTGCATCTATGGGCGTGAACAAAAAGGCCAAAATAATGAAAAGAGCCAGAATATAATATATTCTAAATATGAGGGAATTTGATTTATTCTCTTTCCTTGAAAGCCTAAGTCTTCCCCGCTTATAAAAGGGACCCAAAAGCGACAGAGAAGGGGGTTCGGAGAATTTCCAGAAGACATTTTTGAGAGCACAAGAGAAATAGCGAGAGCGAGAGAGAGGAACGGGGGAGAGAGAGGGCGCATCCGTGCTGCCTCACCGCCGCGCCTCCACCGACGTCGCACCCGCTCACGGCCAGACCTGTGGCCGTGTGTCACTGCTGCCCCGAAGACACCATCCCTGCCACTGCATCTGGTGGTCCGAGCTGCTGCTTCCTCCTGCCGGCGCTGACGACGACGCCGCCTGCCGCTGCCGCTCCACTGTGCCGTCCAGTCGCTGTTCCCCTCACGGCCAGACGGGTGGCCTTGAGGATGCCGCCGCTGCTCCTACCGCCGCACCAACGCCGGCCCCTCTCTCACGGCCAGATTTGTGGCCGTGCGCTTCAGCTCTTCACCATCGTAATTCCAGACGACCAGCGACGCTTCCCGAGAAGTTTTGCGATCACTGTCCATCTTCAACGAGACCCTGCGGCGAGCGTTCCTTGGAGTGCCTCAGCTTGCAAGAACCAACTTTTGGCTGCTAATACAGAAGAGGGGCAGATCTTTGGTTAAACGCTAAAGTCCAAGGGGTGGTGGATTGGTAGTGGCTCGGTCAAACGAGGAGATAGATCTTGAGTGCAGTAGCCATACCAACGTCGTGAACACCGAGTCGCCCTGTAGCACGTTCCAACTGAGTGGCCAAGTCCACGAGCCGTCCCTTGGTCGAAATTCCCTGTCGGTCACTGTCCGTGAGTCCGGAGCCCGGCTGAATTACTCCTGCGCCGCTGCCGGCCCACTCACCGTCGGCCATTTCAATCCGTAATCCCGATTCGCCGCGAATTCGAATTTGGGAATCATCCGCCAATTAGGTAAGATTATCCTAATATTTCTTTTAAATATTTAATTTTCCAGTTTTTTGGATAATTTAGATATTTCGTAAATATTTGGTGGATAGCTAGATATCTTAGGATAATTTTGTGGTATCCGCAATATTCGAAAACACCCAAAATTAGGAATCATTCCTAATTTGGCAACGTATCTGGACGACTATCCGACCTTATCCCTAAGGTACGATACGCGGCGATACGGAAAATCTTTATCTTGTCCATAATCGCTTGAATATAATAATAGATTTTATTTGCTTTCCAAATTTGAACAATCAACTTTCTGTCGATATTGATAACCCTATAGATATGACCGTTAGTTTGATTTCTTTGCCTTATCTGAATTTGAAGAATCTTGCGGATTGCGTGGATTGTTTGAATTGTTTGAATGTGGTTGTTATCATTGTTTGATTGTTTTCCTTTTAAATAAAGAAAATCCAAAAATTTGTTAGTTAGATTTAAACTAGAAATTTTGCATGCTTAAGGAATCCTTAATATATCTAAAAGAATAAGATAATTATTTGATTTAAATTGGGATCTAGGGTAGCATATTTCCTAGTTTAAATTAGAGATTATTTTAATCTTAATGGATTATTTAGGATATTCAATAATTTCGAATTTTAATAAAAATCCCAAAAAAGAATCACTTTAGGATAGATCAAATCATTTTCTCTAGGATAGATTGCATGTTGATTTGAGTATTTTTAATTCCGAATTTCATTGAAAAAAATACCAAAAATAAATCATTTGTCCGTCATTAGAATTAGGTCACGTCGTCGCATGACATATAGTTCGCATGCTAGGTAGCATTAATTGCATGTCATTTTTTTTTTTTGCACGTCATTGCATATAGGTTAGTTTGCATTTTAATAAAGCGCAAACCCTAAAGAACACCTTGAGTGCCTTGCTTTGTAATTAGAAATCATATTTAGGATTGTCTATGTGATTTTCTACTAACAATGCAGATGTTTGCGTTGCTTTAAGGTACGCCACTAACAATGCAGATGTTTGCGTTGCTTTAAGGTACGCCATTCTCCTAATCTTGCAATCTATTTACTGTTTTCTTGGGTGTTAAATTGGTGGTTTGCGCACTCGCATGAACACCTCACATGTTAGTGATTAGGTAATAAAATGGATCCAGACTGCCTGCATAAATATTTTTTTTTAAAAGAAAAGGTACCGAAAGGGCGTTAGACTAGATCTAGCGTAATCAAGTCCCCGAGCTTAGAATATCTGGTTCGTAGGAATAAAACATATCTCCCTATGTTTTATTTAGGTTTCTAATCGACCTACCACAAATAGATTAGTGGCGACTCCAAGCATGAAAACTTTTGCATGTTAAAAACTTAAACCCTAAGTCGCGAATTGGTAGGGCTTGGGAGGGCCCGAGTTAGGCTTAGTCTTAATAATCCATTAGCCTGAGAAATTTAGGTCGCGACATCATCTTTATGTGCATAACAGTTTGTTACAACTACACAACTTATCATGCTTAGAATATCTTGTTCGTAAGAATAAAACATATCTCCCTATGTTTTATTTAGGTTTCTAATCGACCTACCACAAATAGATTAGTGGCGACTCCAAGCATGATGTTAAAAACTTAAACCCTAAGTCGCGAATTGGAAGGGCTTGGGAGGGCTCGAGTTAGGCTTAGTTTTAATAATCCATTAGCCTGAGAAATTTAGGTCGCGACATCATCTTTATGTGCATAACAGTTTGTTACAACTACACAACTTATCAATTCATTGGCTTTTGTCTTCCATGGCATCAATTTTGGAGCATAGAATTTTGCCTCCTCTTCATATTCCATAGTAAACCCCTAAATCTAATCTACCAAGGCCTATTTATATCCAGCTCTCGTAACTTCCGGATATGTTAACTTTTCTCTAATAAGTTTCTATATGCAGGTTTTGGTCTCCATTACTAGCATTGCTTCGTCCTTAAAAGTGATGGTTTTTTTGGAAAATGAGTTATTATGAGAGAAGGGAAGATGAGTATGAGGAAGAAATGCAGATGATGTAAAAGGAATCGCTCAAATAGGGAACCTCTTGGACCAGACCAAACGGTCGTGCATGCCCATGTCTTCCAAATATGTTGACTCTTCTATAATAAGTTTCTATATGCAGATTTTGGTCTCCGTTATTAACATTGATTCGTTATTCTTTCTCCCTAAGAGTGACATTGGAATATGGGTCACTCAAGAAGTAAAGCCGACTTTGATTCAGCTTTCTCTGCATGACGCCTCTGAATTGTGATTGGTAATTCCATTTTGGCACTATCATTAAGGGTTTTACTATACATTCATTAAAGTTGTCCTATGAATGTATGGTGGTCCAACCAAGAACAGTTTCTTCGGATGGAATGCAATTTAATTGTTTTTAACCCTCTTTATTATGCTTGTCGAGGTATACAGCTTAGATAGTCAACTAAGTTGTAGCAAGAATTTCCAAGTGATTTAGCTGTTGACTTGTGTTGTGAAAACAATGTATGTGGGGCAAGCAAATCGAATAGGAAAATGATAATATGGTAGGACCTAAGCAAATTCTTAAAAGGCTTAAGGGAGAAGACATAGGAGGAAGAATCCTCGAAGGGTGGGACTCCCCAATGTCACCTCCCGTATTCCCTCTCTCTCGGGAAGACAAAGAAAGAAAGGGGAATAGGGGACCTCACGTGGTGAAAGTAGACAGCTTTGGCTGGCTACTGCTGGGTAAGCAGAATGGTTACTCTCCTCTATCATAGGTTTTATCAAGTTTGTCTGGTTTATAAAATCCATTCTCACAAGGTGGATCCTTTAAATTAAAAATAAGAAATTAGAAAAGATACTTACTAGAAACATTATTAATATAAAATATCTTTAGAAAAAACATTAGTGCTTAGGTTAAGAGGTAACCTCGTCACAGAAGAAGAATCAAAATTTTCACAGACGGCCTGCCCATTTGATATATAGAGACGGCAAGCTCCACAGATGCATTTTTTATGCCCGCACACCAATTTTTATTGGAAATTGGCCTAATGGATTATATTAATCCACTTTCATGTTAACGATTTTCAACCAATAAAGGTGAATATTTTGCCAGAAAATTATTTGGGTTTGTAACAGGGAAGCATCAATTTCAAAAGGAAATTCAATGTATTGAGTGATTGAAGATGGGCATCGGTGAAGTTTACGCACTTGGGTCGCTCGATCATACAAGACACGATCCTTGGCTCGAACTCGATTGAGCTTCTTCTTTTTCAAAGCTGAGCTCGACTCATCCGAGTGTCTTGTCACCCGATGACCAGCGACAGCGACCCCAATGTCCTTCGATGTTCTGCAAGTCCACGAACGTGACAACTTCTACCGCTCCCAAACAAAAAGGGTATCTCCAGCTTGGGGACTCCACCCCAAGTGCACGCATCTTGGCGGGTGTTTCGTTCACATCCCTCCTTCTTCAGCTCCCCTTTCTTTAAGGCCTGTGCTCTGAATTCGACTCGTGACGCATTCGCTACACGCAAGGCCACCTTCTGAGTTCAGACCAGCTCGGCGCTTTTGGTCTTAGACCTCGGAGCTTCGTCCTGGGCTGAGTCCATGGCCACGTCCGGTGCATTTGGCGGGAAATCCTTCCTTGCCTCCGCCAGGCCTTCTTCGAACGTCGAGCAGGTGACGGCCCTTTTCTTGCACTGGGGCTTCTGGGCATCATGCGGGGGTTGTTTCTTGATTTTTCTCTGTTGGGCATTCTGTTTCTTGGATTATGATCATAATTGTTGCTTTCTTTCATTTCTTGATTGGGGTACGTTTGAGATTCCGGGTTCTCTGCAATTTGTGGTTTTGGTGGTTTCCTTGTGAATGAAGAGATTGCGTTGTTATGGAAGAGTCCATTGAGTAGTTCATTTTGGAGGTGCTCATGAAGCTTGCTTGGACAACCAGCCTTCTGCTCATGGGGCTGTATGTAAATTGCGGTCCATGTTGTTGAGGGGGGGAAAACGATCTTGCTTCGGCTTAACTTGCTATTCGAGATGGTGACCGCCTGGTGTCTGAATTTTTCTTACCACACAAGTTAATATACTCTACAGAGTTGGTAATCTACGTAGTAACATCGAAACCCTTTCTTAAAGTACGCTGCTTGTCAATGATACATTGTCCTTTTGCTTCTTTTATCTATTTTCTCTGATTATGGTTTTATCTTGATTGAAACGAGGATCCTATAGGTATTGAAGACTGTGGAATGGCCAGAACAATTTCCGTTCAAAGAGGAGGATTTCCAGCGAGATGATGTGTAACTCCTTTAACCTGAACTTCTATTGGAAGTGAACTCTGTTTTAAATCAGAAGACATATTTTTCTTAATGCGCTTATTGACTTGCATACATTTCATACTTCAACTTCACTGGAGTCATGATGTTCTGAAGCTGTTTTTTTCATGCTCTCTGAATGTGAACAAGAATTTCACTAGTCGAGATGGAGATTCTTTTGTTTTTAAAACACAGAAATATCCCCGCACAATAATGTCACTTTGAATGATAAGACAAGGTTCAAAGTCACTGTCATGCAGCCACATCATATAGGAGACATAATAGTCATAATGTTATGATTATAACATGGAGTTATTGCTCACTTGAGATGTTTTCCTGCCGGGTCTTCAATCTTATTAGATCAGCTACTAGGTCATAGTTGCATTTGCAATACGTGAAAATGCAAGAATTTTTTTATCAATGTCCTACATGTGGAGCGAAGGGACTGGTTTTTATAGCTTTTTAAACTAAGAAATTTGCATCTCTTTGGGCGTCAGATCTCCAGATTCTTTGTTCTACAAGGCTCCTCGTTTCGTGACACATGTAGATGATCCAGCCATTGCGGCACTTACTAAGTTTTACTCAAGTGTCTTACCTCCTAGCAACGGTCCAGGAGTCAGCGTCCTCGATATTTGTAGCAGTTGGGTAAGACATCTATCGAAATCAGCCTTTTAATACATTCTTATTTCTAACATGACAATTCCTTTATTTGCTAAACATCTAGATAAGCCATTATCCTGAAGGATATAAGCAAGAGAGGATAGTAGGAATGGGAATGAACGAGCAAGAGCTCAAGCGGAATTCGGTGAGGCATTAATGTCCAGTCGAATTATTTTCCCTGGATAAAAAGAGGGCTCGTCTTATGTGTTAGATACTATGTTCTAATTGTGTATAAGGAAACTCCTATTGAGTCCTGCCACTGGTTCTGCAGGTCCTGACTGAGCACTTTGTCCAAGACCTGAATGTGAATCCTACACTTCCATTTGAAGATGATTCCTTCGACGTTATCACAAATGTGGTAAGAAAAGTTTCCTTCGAGCATAATTCAGAGAGCTAGAGCTAGAGATTGCTTTTTAATGTCTTTAGAATTCTACTATGACCTAAGAATATATTTGGACAAGCTTTGTTAATTTTCTGCAGCAGGGACCCACCATTTCTTAGTCAGCCAACTTCAGGCACTGCATTTGGGTTTGTTCTAAGTGGAGTAAATGGACTTTGCCCGATTATGGGAGTTAACTAAAATAAATAATTTTACCTCTTCCAGCTCAAAATGAGAAGTTACCTACTCTTGGATTTGCTCCTCTGTCATGGTATCCAAGTATAGATTGCATTAAGATGATAGAATTGGTAATGGAGAAGTCATCTATGAGAAACCTGCATCCCAGTAACCTTTACCCGGTTGTTAACTGAACCTAACTTGGTCATTTCACAGGTCAGTGTTGACTATCTGACTAAGCCTCTTGATGTTTTCGAGGAGATGTCTCGGATTCTTAAGCCAGGAGGCCAGGCAATAATGAGGTTATGAACATGTTCACAAAGAGTTATTCAGGATCTTCTTTTAATGTTTCAAGGTCCCACTTCCGAGAAAACTCTATTATACTCCAGCATTTGCAGATTTTGCTTTCCATGTTCATCACAATAAGTTCCACAACTACATGATTCCGTGGTGTTAGAAATCAGCATAATAGTCAATTGTAGTGGTTATAGAGTGTGCCAGCACCAATATATTTTTCTTTTAACCTAAACTCAAAGGCCTTGTTAACCTCGTTGTTCTATAAAGATATTCTAACTGTTTTTGTTAGTTCTCAAATTCTCGTGCCTTGCCTGTGATAAAGCATTTCTGATACTTTATTGGTGAAACAGTTTCTCCGACCGTTGCTTTTGGACCAAAGCAATCTCAATATGGACATCGACAGGTGATACAGATCATGTTTTGATTGTTGGGTCATACTTCCATTATGCAGGAGGATTCGAGCCTCCTCAGGTAATATTTATATTACCTATTAGTATCACTTGCTATTATGATAGCGATGCTAATCTCTTGAAAAGTAAAGATACATATCGCTTTAATATTAAGAGAGTATGTCATAAGCAAAACCAGCTTCTGATGGCTCTGGCCGCTTGCAATGCTGGGCTTGGGTAACTATCCGTGTCCTCATATACCATATACTGTGGATGGAAGATGAATTTCAGAGACGGTATCAATGCCATCACATATGTTTGCGTTTGAGCTTTAAAGAGCAATTGCTTATTTGATAAACTGGCTTCAATCCACTTGAATCATGTAGATCGCATCAGACATGGAAACTACTATATCCGCCAGTTTTCACCAGCACTTCTTTTAGTAAAAATATCGGTAGCAGTAAAAATATCAGTAGAAATGGAGAATGAAATTTTAAGCTGCACAATATGATGCTTGGGAACCATGGTTCCATGGCTAGTAACTTCTGATGCAAAATACATATAGGTAATCTCCTCCTTTCTACTGCAGTTCCCAAAATGCCTTTTGCTTCTTCGCGGAGCGGTTACTTTTCCTTACTTTCGCATAGATCTGAATCTTGAGACACTGCTATTACATCTGGTGAGACAGAATGGAGCGAGGGAAAGAATGGACCGCGGATTTCGATTCTTGTGTTTGGATTTCACACAGAAATAACAAAGGAATGAAGAGTTTGTGATTCGGAAATGTCAAAACTGTTTCTAAATCATCGGGTTCTTACTTCCATTTATGTTCTATATTCATGATTATCTGTCTGTGGGGTTTTGATGAGTCTAATTCACGCTACATTTCCATCTACAGTCTGTGGATATTTCTCCAAACCCTGGGCGATCGGATCCAATGTACATCGTGCACTCGAGAAAGGCCTTGACAGCATGAGATACGAAAGCGCGGAAGCATCGCCCTTTCCAAGTAGGGAAAGGAGTTAGGTGGTCTTCAACTAATGAGTCCTCAAATGCCACCTATACCTTAAAAATTTGCCCTCTATGAGGTATGCTGTCATAACATAGCTGCTCATTGTACCTTAAAACTCTATATAGCAGTTTGGGAGTGGCTGGTGCACCTAAAATAGGTGATTTTAGGGGCCAGTTAACTCCTGTTATTTTTACTCTCGATAAGCGATTATATTACCTAAAAGACTCGGATCAACTTTGTACAAAAGCATGCATTGTTTATTTGCAGTTCATGTCTTTAAGAGTGTGTGTGCTCGCTCTGAACATTAATAAGAAATATGTTCCCTTCAGCATCCTAGTCTCCGTCGGGCGAACTCCATTCTATCTCCGATCTCAGCTCGGGTATCTTCTTCTCTATGACGATGAAGCCGCCTTAGACAGGTAAACCTTGACGCAATAAATTATCCCGGTCTTCCTAGGCTCTTTGAAGGACCTCGCCTTCCATCGGCTAAAGGCAAAGAAAAGCTTGCATAATACATATTAGAGACACCCACCACATTGGAGAAATTCCTAGACATAAAAGCGCTTTCCTTCATGGTCGGTGGCTGGTCGGTGCCTTGGATATGGTAAATACATATTAGATAAGACAAAATAGAAAGGACTGCATAAGATGACAACATTATGTACCCTAACGCTTGAACCTAGGCATCACCTATCAAGCCGGTGACAGTCCAATTCAATTCTATCTCCCTCTTTCTCTCTCAGTGCAAAAGAAGTCAATAGTCAAAAGAGAAAGATAAGGCACAAAAGCCACGTTGGTACAGCAGATTCTAAAATGACAAAAGGCACAATGAGGAATATATACGCTAATGGTGACAGAAACGCAAGAAAGAACCACCACCACCAAGAAAAAACTTCAAGAAAAAGAAGGAACAATCAAAGAAAAGCAAAAGGCAAAGTCATCTTCTTTTTCTCTTAGGAGGAAAACATTTACAGAATCACTACTTATGGCCTCCGGTGTGAGCGTTCCTGAAGGCGCTGCACGCGATGAGGTAGACCCAGATGAGGACCACCAGAGCCACGATGAGGATCACGTTGGCCTTCCTCCATTCCCTCCTCAGGTTCCCGAGCATACCGGCCTTACAAGAGTTGCAATCGTAGCAGAGTTGGGTCTGGCTGTTGCTCCACAGGTAGCAGTCCGGGTCGGCTGTCGGGTTTGTCGGGTTCAGCCACAGCGTCGGGTTCGCGTAGCTGTAACCGCAGATGGTTGGTGGCTTGCAGCATCCCGACTGGTCAAACAGAGGCACCCACATGAAAAAGAATTTAGTATGTCGATAAAAATCAGAATTTTTTTACGAAGTACACAATTTCAACCAGGATTGGAAACAATTTAGGCTTTAGCCCAAACAATTCAACTTTCGGGTTAATATTGGTTCACAAAGAAGAACAAAAAGCACCCCCCACCAAAGTATGTTATTACATGCGCCCCAGAGCTGGCAACCACAACATTTATTCTCAATCTTTTCCTAGACAGAGAGACAAAAAGACAAACTATAGACCTTGATTTCTTACTGTTCTGACCATAATTTAATCCGAACTTCATGATTATAAATTATTTGAGCAGAGGTGGGTGGATATATGCCCATTATAGCACAAAAGAGGGACCCAAGATTTGACTCAAGTCCTCCAAAGCAAATTCCCCGTGTTGATGCAAGATATGTGAGATCTTAAACAGTGTCCAGGTGGTTGGACCCCATTGGACGTGGGATGTTTTATAGCCCTACACGCAGGATATATATCTAAAACCTGATTAAAGAAAGACCCGTCTTGATTTCGACTCAAACTAGACCAAAAGTGCTAACTTGTACTAAATTCCAGTAACTTCAAGCGACCACCTCAACTTCTCCAACTACACAAATCACCATCAGAACTCGGGAGTTCCCAAAGAAAAACACAAACAGCTGTCTCCGTCAATTATAACTTATATTCCCCAAGTTGCGTGGTTGATTGCCCATCGATGTAGTTGATTGATTCTCACGTGGAAAGGGTATCGTTCATATGGGCATTTTCTGTTCAAGTTCGTAAGAGACGAGAGAAGCAAAAGACATCAGTTCCTGTTACGGAAGGACTCTCTGGAAGTGCCGTTCATGACTTTCCAGGCGTTCCTTAGTGCTTGTACAGAGGCAAAAGGCCAAGAAAGAGATATCTCAACCTTAACCGATATCGATTCCGTTAAAAGCAACGAATAAAGACAGAAGAAACACGCATCAAAGCACTGTCTTTTTCCTGGACATGGAAACACAGGACAAACAGGGGAAAAAAGTGGAAGACGAACCCAGAGAGAGAGAGAGAGAGCGAGAGAGAGAGTTGCCTGAAGAGGAGAGATGTGAGCAGCGAAGTACTGGTCGGCAGTGGCATAGTCCTGGGCCAACTTGGTGCAGACATCGGACTCGGCAAGACAAGTCCTGATCTTGACCCAGTTCTCGGGGTCGGTCACATGGTCCCTCAGCCAAGAACTGTACCCGCCAAGCCTGTACTCCCGGTACCCCCTCCCGGCCACGGAGTAGCTCCCGTCCTCCCTCGTGACCGAGTACGCGAACACGAGGACGATGAGGAGGAGGCCGATGAGCATGGCCATGCAGAAGAGGTAGAAGGCCAGGAGCCCTTGCTTGTTCCAGTAAGCCCCGACGAAGCCGGCGAGGGAGACGAGGAGGACCAGGGTGCCGAGGATGACGACCGGCCACCGGAAGTAGTGGGTGCACTCGTTGTCGGCCTTCGAGGCCAGCCAGATCCCGGCGGCGATGATGGGGATGGAGCAGAGGAAGGCTATGAAGTTGAGGACCGAGGTCACGTTGTTGCTCACTCCCATGGCGGATTCTTTGTTTTTCGCACAGACGCACAGACAGAGACAGAGACAGAGAGAGTTTCTTGATGAAGAAGGATCAAGAAATTGGTGGAGTTCTTCGGGACCTTTCTTGAGCTGGGTTTTGTGCGTTCTTCTTGGCCATGGCCATGGTGACATGTCAGCTTCTGGTTTGAGAAATGCGAGGACTGGATGGACATGGACACGTGGCAAAAGTATGGGGAATTTTTTAATTTTTCGGGGATGTACTCTCGAGTTATTATTATTCTAGATCAGACCATAACAAGAAAGTTTATTCTAGCACGTCGTCATATGGACCGTCGGATTATGTGAAACTTACGTGGGATTCAATGGCTCGTGTCGAATGAGCTTTACATAGGTCGAAACAAATCCAAAGACGGGGCACGGACGGAGAGATGGTAAAAGTTATGTGGGGAGACCCTTTGCGTGGGTACGTTACTATATTTGGGGTGTCTTGTGCTTTTGGAGACACCAATTATGCATCAAAGAATTCGTATGCTTTAGCGCGAGCGATCTCATCATGCTCTAAGAGTGATTTTTCTTTTGGTACCCGCACAATCATCTAACAAAACAAATCGAGAAATGATCCATATTTTTTAATTGAACCGGTGATCGGTTCACTAAATGATAGCGTGACCATGAAATGAAATACCTTATCTTATTTTAAAAGCTTTTATTTTTTTTTTAGGTAAAGGGGTGCATATCTTCTTATGAAGCATTCATGGCCGCTTCATTAGCTATTACCTCACACATCATGTATTAAGAGAAGAGGATGTTTACTTTGATACAGAGGACTTGTCATTTTTTCCCGCGAGACGAACAGACTCCAAATTTAACAAAATTCGATACGATGAACTTTGGTTTTGAAAAAAAAAAAAAAGCATGTTTTCTTTGTAATTTGAGTGTTGGACCTCATATAATTATAATCAATTATAGAAAAAACAATATAAAGACAATTGTTCATAAAAAAAAAAAAAGAAAGGGGTATTGACATAAATAGTTTATGAACTTTGGAATAATGTGCAAATCCTTAAACTTTTTAATTTGTTTAATGTGATCCATGAACTTTTAATTTGCTCAATGTAGTCCCTAGACTTTTGGTACGTATTCAACTTAATCCCGGAACTATATGAAGATTCTCATTGTTATCTCTAAACTTGAATTAATAGAAGGACAATAATAAAGATCGGGAATTTAGTTGAACTACATTAAACAAATCGAAAGTTTAAGGACCACATTGCACACTAGACGAAAATTCATGGACTACATTGAATAAATTAAAAACTTTAGAGACTACATTGTACATTTGACCAAAGTTTAGAGATCATTTATGTCATTTTCTCAAAAAGAAATTAATTAATTTTAAAAATACCGGTGACATAAAGTATGAGAAATCATAAACTCTCCTAAACGACACGAGTACACAATTTGTGATAAAAATTAGTTAATTTAATTTTGGCTAAACCCATTTTTCCCGGAGACAGTTGTTGCCTTGCCTTTTCGTCGCTCCCCAACCGAGAACCGACCCACCGCCCCCCTCTCTCCCCGTCGCCGCCGCCGCCGCCGCCGCCGCACGCGCCCGCCGCGTGCGAGAAGGCTAGGCCGTCGCCACCCCCACGCGCGCCTCGCCCCCACGCGCGCCATCTCCGGCTTCCGTCTGGCGGCAAAGGAACCGAGGTCCAATCCCCAGCCGCATCGCGAGAGACTCGCGGCACGCGCCGCTCAACGTCCCCGTCTCTTGGCCCTAACATTCAGCTGGACGAGTTTCCCGCCCTGCTGCGTCGCAAGAGTCTTGCAGAAACCAAGAGACGCCCGACGGAAAATGGAGCCGTGGACTCCACTGTTCGACGTCTTCCTCAACTCTCCGACGCCCGAAGCCGACGCGTCGCGGTGGCTGCAGGAGTCTTTCCCGTCGTCCTCGACCTCGGCCGCGCCCATCACCACCGCCTCTTTCCTCTCTCTGCTCTCGAAACCTTGCGATGCCGCCGTTGCCCAAGGCTACCCTTTTCCTTCGTCTCCTCCACCTGCTCAGACCAAAAGGTAAACCCAGTCGATTGAAGCTAAAAAGAACGTTTTTTGTTTGCTGGGTAGTGTTTGTTTTGTTGGATAGACTTTGGTTGAGGCCGTTGGCTCGTTGCTCTGTGTAGGGTTATGTTCATACAGACTTTGCCCGCCATGGTGCAGTCGCGGATTTTGTCGTTCCTCGCTATCGAGCGCCAGAGGTTCTGCGCCAGGGGCTTGTCGAGCCTTGCCCGTGGCGTTTTGGGGGGTGGCGAGGAGGTGGATTTTTGGGTGGCCAGGGCTGCCCGGCACCTGCTCGATGTAATGCCCGAGTCGAATTATGGGTGGATCTCTCGAATGGGTTTTGATTCGGGGGAGGAAAGAAGTGGCAATGAGTTCGAGTCGGTGCCGGCTTGGCTGAAAAGTGAGGCGGCTGCCGCTCGTGTACTTCTGCCCTGGCTTCCTGTGTCGCTGGATGAATTCAACTCGGCAGAGTCTTTCCCGGGCGGTGAGAAGAATGAGGAGTTGTCGAGCGAGGCTGGAGAAATTGAAGCGGAACCTATGGATGAAGATGTGGAAGACATTGAGATTTGCGATTCCTTGGGAGTTCCCCTAGAACCTGAAATTCAGGACAAGGCAACGAGTTTGAGGGCTCAGATTGCGAATTTCGAATCTACAAGCAGAACTGTTGCCTTAGCGAATGCAATCCGCGAAATTTGCTTGGCAAAGGGGTTAAATTCTGTTCGAGTTCTGGACTTGATCGAACCTTGGAAAGCAGATGACGAGGCTGCTTCAGTTCTGATTTCCCACCTCACAGATGGAAGCGAAAAAGAGTTTACTTGGCCAAGCCTTGTTCTCTGCTCCATTATTCTTCCTAGACTATTGGTTCTTGAAGTTCGAGTAACTCGTGTGCTATTAACTGCGACAATAGAATACTGCAAGCTTCATCAGAAGGCTGCAGAATACGCACTGTTATTGCCGCTTGTCATGCGAAAGGAGGGCATAAATAACCCTGTCTGCGAGGCTATTACTAGGATCATCAAGGAATGCTTGCATCCAGCTCATGTCACGGCCTTCTGCCACAAACTGTTGTGTGACGGGAAAAATAACGAGAGATTCGTATGCTTACCCTCTCATCAATGCCTAATATCCCCTGAACTGGTATGGACAGAATCCTTGTTTAATCTGTTTCAGAACTTATTGAATCATAATATTCATCTGACCCTGGAGTCAGTTGATTGTATTGTTAACTCGGTACAGAAGTTGTCTTTAAGGTTCTCAAAATCTTTGAAGTTTGGAAATTTTTTACTATGTTTAGTCACCAAATGCGCTTCATCATTGAAGTCCCATAAGCAGCCGCTGACTAAAGCAGTTGAATGTACCAATACTCTCGTGACAAAGTCCATTTTGTCAAAGTTATCAAACTTATAGGCCTTTTTTGTATTTTCCTCTATGAGTTGCACCGTTACTGCTAATTAGCTAACAAATGAACTCCACTGATTCTAAGATTCCTGCTGAATTTGAATAGCATGCAGCTTCATAGCTGATTGGTCAATTGCTAGATATCATCGTGCATACATGCAGTCTTCTTCTTTGGAGCAGTTTTGCACTTTAGGCCCACTATCCACTCTCAAATGAGAAACAATCATTTAACCCCCAAGAAGTGACTAAGGTATGCCAGAATTATGATGCCATTACTCGGAATTTCTATATTGGTAAATAGTCAACTGCATGACCATCTCTGTATCTGGATTTTGTCAAGAAACTTGTGGAAGTAAAAAATCGTATGCTTGAATGATTCTGACGACTAATTCCAATAAACCGTAACAAGTAGCATTACCATCACATAATTATCTTGGGGCCGTTTGATATGGTCTAGATCAGAATGAAAAGTATGCAATTTCAAGTCTGCTAATCCAGAATTTCAAACAAATGTACGACAGCTTGCTTTGCAGCATGTATCTGATTTTGATTGCTGTAGGAAGTGAAAAGGCCTAGTGCTCTAAGTGCGCAGTCTCCGAAGAAGTTTATCGACCTTGTGGGATGACAGTAACGTAATTACCCTGATTGCTTTCTCGATCACTTGCTACTTTTCCAACATGGCTATTTCTTTAGTTTTCCATGTTACTTTTGGCACGTGAGATAGCTGACTTCATGAATCTTCATATCATCAATAATAGATAGAAATAAGTCGACAAAGGATAATTTTATATGCTAGTCTTCGTGGAATTACATCACACGTGGTTTGAGAATTGACAAGCAAACCCAAACTGGTAGGAAATACATTTTAGACAAGCAGACCACAAGGGCCATTGGTCATTTTCTTTAATGACTCAAATCGGGGCTCCTTGTCTAGAAACTTTGTCGTGGAGTAAAGTTTTAGATAATCTCCAAAACTAAAATGATTGGGGTATAGTAGTTTTGGAGCTGGAGATATGATGGCATCAGTAGCAGGATTATAGAAGGTTGCAATGGAGAGTCTGCTTCCATTTTTCTCGGTCATGACCCTGTGCAATGCACTTTTGTACCTTCCATTACTCAAAACCTCTAGTTGATCACCTGTATTCACAAAGATGGCATTGTTCTTAGATGGTGGAATCTGTATCCAGTTTCCTTCTTTGAAGAATTCAAGTCCTGGGACTTGGTCATCTTGGAGCAAGAGTATGATCCCACCGGCATCAGTGTGCTCTCTGAGTCCCCTTACACGTTCAGGATGGGGGCATTGTGGGTATTTCGCCACCTTTGTCCCCACAGAAGGACCTTTTTCTCCGGAAAAAACTTTCTTTATGTGATCTTTATCCAAGCCAAGATTCTCACACATGAACTCTGAGAGCTTCTCGGCTAGCACGATTAGTTGATCTATGTAGTCATCCATTGCCTTGCTGCAATTGTGCAGTGCTAATTACTCAATATGCATATATATAAGTGATGAAACTTTCTGTTTCATGAATTGTACGTGTTCATTTGTTATGAAAATACCTGTGAACTTACCAAAGATCTTCAGAAAGGTTTGGAAATACATTGATGTTGGATTTTGGACGATGTGAGATGAAGAAGCTGCTCTCCCAGTCTATGTCTGTAGTATGTCCATTTTCCAATCTTTTAGCTACTTCTGAATCATAGAAAGTTTCCTTCAAATTTTGCTCATAGTGTGAATTGACAAAATGCTTCACCTTCTCTGTCAACTCTTTGTCTACTCCATGGTTCTCAATCTGCAAACATAGCTAATACCATCAACTGAGGTATATATAGTAAGGAACGTTTCTAGGTTTATCTGCAGTAGATTGACAGTTCTACCTTAAAGAAGCCAAATTTCTCGCAAGCGTCGTGAAGTAGTGCCATAGTCTTGCTCCTGTTCTCTCCATCAAGCTGGCTGAAGTCTATTACAGGGACCTCCATCTCCTTCCTTTCTGTGTTTTTCTCTGTACTTGTTTGTGTGGATAGGCTGATTCTTGAGGAGTATTTATAGGGCTAGACTTTGGTATATGGATGATTTTCTTTACTGTTTTGTAGTTATGGGTAGTTAGACTAGAAGAGAAGTTAGTTACAGATTAACTGCAACCTTGTTTGAAGGGAAACTGTGGTGCCTCGAATCTAGCATGTAAAGTCCAAGTTCAGTTAATCAACACCATGTGATTGCACGATCTCAGTGTCTCCCATTTCTTGTGATCTATGAGTGAATAGTTTCTAGCTTGAAATGCAAGAAAGGTTTTTATAATTCTTTTGGAAAATTTTCCTGATTGGGTGATTTTCTCCTCATAAGACTCATTCCTCTCTCTCCCTCGCATGCACATGCATAAAACACAAGCATAAGCAAGCATGATGGTATTCTATGCCAACCAGGTTATAGTTTATTCTCTTTGGGAGGCACATTCACATTGGTGGTTTCTTTAGTAGCAACCATCAAGGTCAAACAAAACTAGGTGCTGTGTGGCGCCGAGCTGTTTCAAATAGCCTCTTGAAACAGGAAACCAGGAACATTAACTTGGAAACTACCTATGGGCGATTTGACCGAGAATTTTTTGAATATCATCAATTGTTGGTAAGATTTTGACATATACTATTGCGGTCTCAATAAAAATTCTCTAACAAATTTAGCTCGAGATTGGAATCAGGTGCTTTCAATTTGGTTGTTGATGATGTATATCTAGTCTCTGATCCTATGTAAATCTATTATTGCTTTGCCCAGATTGATTTTATGTGAGCGTAGGTGAGATTCCAAGAGGTCTAATTATATGCTTGCATTATGCAAGTTTGAGGTGCATTATTGGGACATGATGACGTTGGAATTGTTCTTTGATTGAGAAATCTTAAACTAAGAACGGAATTAGCGGAGTCGAATCTCTGCATATGCTGGTATCTGACACGATGCTAAATTTAAATGTTAGTGCCCTCTAGTACAGGCACATTGTATTAGAGTATGATTTTTTGGCCTTTGTTGTTGGGGTACTGGTACTGCACTTTTGGCTGATTAGATACTGCAATAGTGAGTGCTAAGTGATTCTTCCTAGTTTGATCAACTATTTTTCATGCTTAGAGAAAAGAAGATGCATGTCTGGCCAGTGATCGAATGCCTAGCCTGGCGTTAACGTTCCTTAGTTTGTTTCGATAACACCTTGAGATATCAATAGTTCATCTCTAGTACATCATACTGATATTTTGTGTTGTCTGACATTTCTAAGGCTAGCGAGTAGAGTGGTTTCTCCTTTGTTGGGCTAAAGTTTGATCAAATGTTAGTCTCCTGTTTTGAGCTTCTTCTTTTTCTTTTCCTTTTTTTCTAAAGACGCGATCCGATGGCAGTCTATTTTAACCGTTTGCTTAGAAGTAGATTTCAAGCATCATTACAATTCTCTCCTCACTGATTTTCTGAAACCGAAATCAAGCTGGCGAGTGTCGGAAAGTCCTACGAATGCGATGCAAATGGGGCTAACGAGGGATGGAGGATCTGCATCCGGCGCTCGACACTGACTTGAGCTGGTTTATCGATCTATAGCAGTATTCCTCTTGCTCTGTCGAAGCAACCGACATTTTTCTGAGATCTAAACTTTGCATGCTCCCGCGAGGTTGGAACAACATAAAAAGGCAAGGATTCTGGCATGATAATCACTAATCATCCTTAACTAATCGCGATGAGGTGAGTTAATTGAGGACATGATTGGGGTTTGGTGGGCTTATGTCTTTTTGCCGTGAAAAACCTGGCACTACTCCTGCTGGTATTGGTAACATGTTAGAAGCAGCTTCTGCGAAAATTGATGGACACATGCAGTCCAGTTTTCTCAGTTGTATGTTTACTTATTTATTTTTATTTAGCTTAGCATTAAAAACATATTAAAGCCTGCATTTGTTTTGGGTGGGGTGCATGGGATGGGCAATAATCAAAGTCACATGGAAATCTGGATTTGTTTTGGTCCTTTCGACCTTTGTACATCTATGTGAATATATTAAAATAATCTTCCCGATGTGTTGTTGCCTCTTAAGTGTGGCACTTTAGGATTGGAAATTGCTAGGATCTGACTCTTCTCATGACAAGAAATATTTTTTGATGCTTTTCCAACAAAATTAGAAAAACATAACTTTCTTCATTATTTAACTATTCAAATTGAAAATATTTTTAGATATTTGTCAAGAAAAAGGACACTAGAAGTGTCATCACTTCAGTGCCATAATTTTTCGCCGGATTACTTCAGTGCCATATCCAAGAAAACGATTATTTAAGTGCTTCCGGCGATCCAATCGGACAAATAATATTACTGTGGGTTTTTTATAAAAAAAAGAAAAAGAAAATGCACGTAAACGATGAGATGTCCTATGATCACAAAGCCACTCTACACTAAAACAACTTAATCTCTCTGCTCCTCTTGAGTGCTCTCTCTCTCTCTCTCTCTCTCTCTCTCTCTCTGTGAAGAGCTTCAATGGCGATTATCTCTCGTGAAAAGATATATATATATATATATATATATATATATATATATATCTCTCTCTCTCTTTAACCTCTACGCGTCGTCTAAGGAGAGGAAGATCCAATCGTCATTGATTTTCTTAGCTATTGGATGCTTAATCTCAGTCCATGGTTTCATTTTGCTGTCAACCGCCATGTCGAGGACCTTTATGTCAATATGAGGTCGTGCGAGATTGAGGACCATTTCGTGGTATTTCTGCTCCTTCATGGAGATGCTCTTCGTTGGTGAACCTGCATTTAAGGCTCATTTAGTAGGAGTGTCGCTTTGGAGTAACCTGAAGTCGCTGTCCATCCGCAACTCAGAGGTGACCAGTGAGGTGATACATGATATCTTGAAGGGTAGCCATGTTCTTGAGTACGTTAGGGTTGGAAAGATGCTATGGTTTGAAGCAAAAACATCAAGCTTTGTTTGAGAATTAGGGTTTCCCCTCGACGATTTCGAGTCCTCTTTTGTTGTCGCTGCATTTGAGAATTAGGGTTTGTATTTGGGGCAAACATGTTGAACGATGTCGTTGAGGGCATTTATGATGACTTAGAGCGCCAACAAGCCACGTCGGTCGGACAAATGATAAACTATCGTCACGTTGGATTTTTGATGTCACAAATCAGTGATGATGGTGATCGTTTTTTTTTTAAATCAAAGTGGAATTTAAGTGATCCGAAGAAAAATTTTGAAGCTAAAGTGAATATCGTACGAAAGTTATGATACTTTAGTGATCTTTTCCTTATTTGTTAGTATACAAATATTTCTATTGTTTATATGCATCTAAGAGATAATATAGTATTTTATATTGCGTTTGTGACATTTTAATTTTATACTAACTAGTTGCATTGAAATATGATAGAATGTTTAATATTGTTGACACCAAATGTTTAATATTAAAGTTGGTAACCGTTGAAGCAGTTAGGGGCGATGCAACTCCAATGGAGTTGATGATTTCTGAAATAACCATGTGTGTATAAGTAGTGATGGATCGTAAGTACCAGAAAAGTCCTAAACTTATTGCATTAATATCAATTCAGTCCTAAACCTTTTAATTGGACCAATTTAGTCTTAAACATTTTTACATTGGTATCAATTCAGTCTATTCAGCCAATTTAGGCTGGAAATCGTTGACGTGGATGCCAACTGTCCTACATGGCATGATCGGCTCTAACGTGGAAAATTTTTAATAATTTTTTCTCTTTTTTTTTCTTTTTTTCCTATGGTTTTTTTTTCCTTCCTTCTACCTAGGCTAGGTTCCGGCTCTCACCCTTGGCCCGAGAGGTGATCCTCTCTGTGGGTGGCCTGCTTTGTGTGGTCACCCAGCTGTGGCCGAGTAGCCAACGAGGCCCAAGAAAGAAGAAAAAAAAAATCAAAATTTCAACAAATTATTTAAAAAATTGGTCGGATGGGCTGAATTGGTATCAATATCAAAAAAAGGTTTATGGTGAATTGATCCAATTAAAGGTTTGTGACTAAATTGATACCAATATAATAGGTTTATGACTTTTTTGGTACTTTTCCCGAGTCATGTATAGCATGTGTAGCTTTCTTAGTACCTACTGTTAACCGTCAAATTGTAGGTATAAATACTCAAATTGTAATATGTACAAGAAATGACTAATCAATCAAAGATCACAAGTTATTCATCTTTACTTCCATGTTTATTTTTACATTTCTAGTTGTTTTATATGCCCTGAATGATTGCGCCCAATCTCGATACCATTTCTTGTTCAATAATCAACAAAGAATCCTTCACAATGTTTGTCGGTTCGTATCAATTGATCCACTTTTCGAAAAGACATTTCGTCGATTTTTTGGTGAAATAAATACCATTAATGCTAAAATGTTTACTGCACAATTTCAATTATGTTTTTGAAAGACAACGTGCGGGTTAACATAAACAGATTATTTTTTATTTTTTTTCATTTATAGATCTCTATACCTCTTTGTCGTATGGAACCTTTAAATATCATTTGCTAATACTTATGGTGCATTTGGCGCAATTTTGCCAAAGGACTTTAGCCTCTCAAAGCCCTTTGTGCTAAAAATGAGGTGTTTTGATAACATGATTGCATCTTCTAACATTCCCCTCACTAGTAATTTCGTATTCCAGTCTTGCCCTCGCGAAACGACCGCTCATCTTCTCCCTCTCTGAAACCGACGCTCCGGATCCGGATCCAGGTGTCAGATCCGAAGCTCCGTCGAGGGGTCGTGACGATCGCCAACGGTTGTCGAGGGCGGTCGCGGGTCGCCAACGGTCGCGGAGGATGTCGAGGGCCGAGGCGAGATCCGGGTTCGCGGCGACCTGGGCTGCCGAAGCCGCGCGACCCTCAGCCCCGCCTCAATCTCCAACTTGGGCTGGTCAAGAGTGGGAAATGGGCCTCGAGAGGCCCATCTAAACCGGGCCTTCCTCCTCTGCTCGTGCGACGCTGACGGATTGCTTGGTAAAGAGATTCGCAAGAGTTGACCCTC